TGTTTACGATAATTAAGAGAAAAAATATTACAAGAGTTAAGACAGACAAATAGAGACAAACAGAATTATTCAACAATGGTTTTTTCAATATACTTACATAAACATATGTATACATACATACATACATACATACATATACAAATATAGAAGCAAGTGCATTGAATGGATACACTGCATATTCACGCATATAAAGGTATTTGTAAATATCTCTTGTCAAAGAGGAAAGCCTGTTAATTGATTGTTGCCATTGAATGGAGTGTTAAAATTTACGTTAAATGACGCATAATTCCTTGTACTCACTCACCATAGGAGGAGATGTGTTAGGTTCGGGCTATATTTAGATAAAAATAGAAGCATTAATTGGAGATCCCACAAAAGAGATATAAGATGGTTTAAATAACCATCGACCAGTCCTGCAAGCCACTGCTAGGCACTTGAATGTGTTTTGATCAGCGGCAATGAAAAAATAATGCAAAGTATCAATGCACACAACGGTTAAATTCGATGATACATAAAATAACAATTTTCCATTTACTATTATGAGTTATTCGGTGTATACGGACGCTAGCCATGATACGCTCAGAATTGCATTCTCGACAATCATTACTTTTGTTGTTTGATTTGAACAAATCTCCTGCAGAACCCCATCAAATACTTTTAGAAGCTTATGTGAAGTGATGTTGCTCCATCATATCCCAATTGTCGGTTTCGGTTTTAATGATTTATATACATACATATACTTTGCGTATGGTGGGATCAGCAAAGCCGATGTCTTCCGACGTTTCTGCCGATGTCTTCCGACGTCAATTGAACAATTTGAACGATGTATGATTGCAAAAAAGTCCTGCAACAGCATTGTTGCAATTCGAAAGGCAAGCTCTGCCGCGTCCATCGTACTCACCAGGCACAGTGCCTTCTAATTAGCCGTTGTTCAGATCGATGTAGCATGGCTTAGTTGAAACGCGGTTTCGAAATGCTGAAGTGGATCGATGATTGGATCGCTTCCAAGCCAATATTCGTTTTGACACATTATCGCCATGTAACCAGAAAGATGGGGGAAGGTTGTCGAAAATGCTTGGAAATATTTTTAATGTGTATTATTCCAGTTTTTCTCAATAAATGCCTTTTTTAAGTGAAAAAATGATCAAAATACATGCAAACACCTAATATATGCTAATCAATATTGATTTGAAAATGGGTAGAGAATCAAGCAGTGGAAAGCAGTGGAATATATTCGTGTCTTCACTCTTCTGTCTTTGATATACGAAATTTTTTTGAAACAAGCGCCGATGATCGCAAGTCGGTTTAAGCTTTCTATTATCATTTTTACTCTTTATTAATCCGGTCTAAAATATAATTCACAAGTGTTGCGTTAAGTACGTATATATACATGTAATAGACTTTAAATGGAGTTCATTGCCACATTTTAAACCCAGGTGCAAGTTGATCCCATCATAGTCATTTACCTAATATCGCATACAAGCTGGTTAAATTCTTTTCCTTACTCATCATCAACATTATCATCCATGTTTGCCATATGTGAGTACGTGTATATGCGGAGATGTCAATACTTCAATTAGAAACTGTCAATCAGTTCTATAGATCTTATGTGTTTTCCGTAAGAATTTCTATAATTTAGATCTAATGTTAATACCTTAACGGTTACAAGGATGCTAATCTTTACTTATTTGAAGTAAATGAGAAATACATACATATTTTTATATATATAATATATATGTATATATATATATATATATATACGCAGGTGGATAGAAAAGTAGAGGTACGTCGTTTTACGTTTTCCTCCTTTTATGTATTATATTAATCAACTATTTATGAAGTAGAAATATTTCCAGGGCTTTAGATATGTGTATGCACTAAATATAATCAAAAAATTTAAAAAATGTTCAGCTCAAAAATGTCAGATGTTTGCAGGCGGACAGCAAAATAGATTTCTATTTTAAAATTTGAAAAAATAAGGTAACATTTTGTACTTAAACAAATAAATCAAGCAATCAAATTTATAGAAATCAGTTCAGACAGTCCATGGCAGGCATAACTACCAGTGTTTTAAAGGACACTTTCGATTTTCTTAGATCTTTTTCTACAATTCTACTTTATTCCTGCAGGAAGTGTGACGCTTTAGTCCTCTCCGAACATTCTCAATAGGCTTGAGATCAGGAAATTGACTTACTCATTCAATGACATTCGAGATAAGCTTCTGGACTCACGCCTTCATCAAATTGAACAAATGTTTCGGATTATTATTCTGATGAAATTTTTATAACAGTGGCATATTTTCTTCAGGATATGATAGCATTACAGTTTCCAAAAAAAATTTTTATGTACAAATCTATCCATAGTGTCTTCTCTGAAATGTATGGCACTGACACCGTCCCAAGAAAAACAGCTCCATCATACCAAAATATATCTTCCGCTTCGCTTCATTGTTTTTCTAGTAAATCGAACGTGGAATTCTTTCTCTTTAGATCGAAGTACACTTCTTCCCGCATCGCTTGCACACACATTTATTTTTGTTGCACCAATTTTTATGGGCTAGAGCAAAGTAAGAAGGACCTTTCGAAGATACTCTTCCTGATATATCAGTTCGGGATGATACAACATTCGCAATTTCATTGGAATGTGCTCTAGACGACTCGAAGGGATCTCGGCCTGCTAAAGTTATCATGCCATCGTTGTTGATTTTTTTAACTACCCCACTCCTTTCAATGCTTTTTTTTTTTGAGGAAGTTATGCGACGGACGCAGTGATGCGGCCGCGATTGATGACTTAGCCGCTACAATGATATGCCCGTCCTATCTAATATTATTATAAACATTAATTCATTGCATAAAGAAACTTTTCGTAACCTTTTACAGCTTCTGTAGCATAGACCTGAAAAAAACGCTTCGCACCTTTTCTTCTATCCGCCTGCGCATACATTTATGAATATAAACGTGTTGGTTCCAAATTTCATATCATTAGTTTCTTGTTATCTACTTGCTAAAGAATCATAGTTTATTCATGTATATTCAGGTGTACCATACTCGGTGTGTACAGTATCGCACTAAACTTATCGCCGAAAGTAAACCGGTGGTGTCGTGTGCTGCTGATCTGTATGCCATTAAAAGACTGGCATGTGCTCATCCCGATCACACTGAGGTTACAATGTACTTGTTCTGTCTTTCTGAACACCAAACAATTCGTAAACCGCTTGGAAGATAGTACATTCCTAGTTTGCCCTTTGATCTGAATGAAAATCCAAGGGAGCTTCAAAACCCATGCCTCAACTATTGTCTTTGCCTCATGGTCTGCTATAGGATAGCCACACATTTACTGAAGCGAAAAAAGGGGCTACTAGTACATACTTGTACACTGCGTATGTCCTTTTTTGTTTCCATTGGACTGCACAATAATTCAGCAGCGGGCAATATTTTCTCAGTGCTCGTTCCTTACGCAATGCCCACACATAGGATTCGCATTGCCATAATATTTACCATACCACATGGCCAATCGTTCTTTACAGGTCAATGTCCACTATAAAGAAGCATCTTTATCCAAACTTTTACCCAAATTCTTCATTACAGAAAAATATTCACACGAAACCTTTGCACCAAAAAACCCTCAATCAAGACCTCGCACCATGCCCTCATAACAAATCCTCAGACTTTTACAGAAAAAACGTACATACCACACTTTCACACCAAACCTCTCTGAAAAAAAAAAACGCTTTCTCAAACCTCTAAAATTCCTCCAAATTTGTTTTGCTACAAACTTGTTATTATAGAGCGTGACAAGTTTTCGTGAATATGCTTATATTATCGTACCCTACTGATGTACATCTATCCAAATATTTAGGTTATTTTGCATTTACATTAGATCTCATTTATCTATCATATAACTTCGTGATTGCAATTATATGATCATTCTTCACAACAAACCACAACAAAAAAACGCTCGTATCTGAAGACTTTCACATCAAACCATCTTTCCCACCGTAAAATCTACACACCGAACCTTCACAACTAACCTTCACCCCGAACAAATCGTTATGCCACAAAGACTTTACACTAAACTTTTACATTAAAAGATCTTCACTGCAAGCCTTCACACAATAAAAGTCTGACACCAAAAAGCCTTCACATTAAGATCTCTCACAGAACCTTCATAACAAAAAAAAAGCGTATAATTCAAAAAACTACTCTACGATGTTTTTGACTAATCCCATACACAACATAAGTGAAACAAAAACATTATAGTGCACCACGGTCCATCATTGAACAATCTACACCACTTCATATAATAATCTTTGTGAGAGAATGTGTTCGAAAAAATTGCCCGATTCAAACCGTTTCCAATAGCGTTCGTTCTTCGGCCAAACCATGTTAGTGTACAAAATTGCCCCAAAATATCTCAAAAATTGTTGGTTGAACACATGCATAGACTACGGGCACGGCAGACGGGCAAGTACTTGTGAGTGTTAAATACATCCCCGCAAAAATTAGATACTCTTGTATCACAAATTTCTTAACCTAGTACACGCGTAAGCATCCGCAAGCATTTGATCTTTATCGTGTAGAATTTTTTTAAAAAGTGCTATAAATAATGTATATACTGCATATATAGCTTTAGTTCATTAGTGTGGAACAGAACAAAATTGGAAATTGCAAGCCTGCAACAAAAATTTGTTGTATGTGCTGATATGAAGCGAAGACAAATTTTGTGCGTATTTTCCAATGAGAATTAAAAATAATTTTCAATAATAGTTTTCTTGTTCACTTTGTACAAAGAATTTACATAAGAATTTTATTTAAGAAAGGAGAAAATAAGAGTATAAAATAGGAAAATAGTGTAATTAATTTTTCCGGACTGATTTTGTTGTATCTCTATTGGCAAATGTTCCATTCCGTATTCTTAATTTTTCAAAGGCAGTGTTTCTATAACTAGTTTTTTATTTTCACTTGCATATGCCAAAGTTGGAATACGTCTGTGGAAAATATGTACATGTAATTTTGTTGAGCTGCTTGCAGTAAATAAAAGGAAATTGGTAAAATTTTGGATAAATAATTTAGCTGAAATGGCGTCGCTAGAACCCGCACAAAATAAAACTTGGGATTTGTCATTGTACGAACTGCAACGAAAACCTCAAGAAATAATAACTGATAACACTGAAATTGCCGTTTCGCCAAGAAGTCTACATAGTGAGCTTATGTGTCCTATATGTTTGGATATGTTAAAGAAAACTATGACCACAAAGGAATGCTTGCATCGTTTCTGTCAGGATTGCATAATAACTGCTTTACGATCAGGTAATAAGGAATGCCCCACTTGTCGTAAAAAGTTAGTGTCAAAGAGATCATTGCGACCTGATCCAAACTTTGACTTATTAATTTCAAAAATTTATCCCAGCCGAGAAGAATATGAAGCTATTCAAGAAAAGGTAATGGCGAAATTTAATCAAACGCAGTCTCAGCAGGCTTTAGTAAATTCCATTAATGAAGGCATCAAATTACAAAGTCAAAACAGACCACTGCGTTTTAGAACCAAGGGCGCTGGAGGCCGAGGTGGTAATCACAATAGTTCGCATATTCACAACGTCTCTAATGAAAGTAACACCAACGGCAATGAAAGTGACAATAGGGATAGTGGAGCAGGAACCAACAATTCAAGTAATGCACCTTCGTCGACACATTCCAATACTACAACGACGACTACTACCAGCGTGTCAAGTGGAGTGCAAGGTGCAGGTGCTAGCACCTCAGCCAATCGCTTGCAACAAGATGATGGGGCCTCTAATCCGCCGTCGGTGCGAAGTACTCCATCGCCGGTACCATCTAATTCTAGTAGTTCGAAACCTAAACGGGCTATGTCAGTTTTGACATCGGAGCGCTCCGAAGAATCTGAATCCGATTCGCAAATGGACTGTCGCACCGAAGGTGACTCCAATATTGACACTGAAGGCGAAGGCAATGGAGAGTTAGGTATTAATGATGAAATAGAACTAGTTTTTAAACCACATCCCACCGAAATGGCGGGAGATAATCAGCTCATGAAAGCCTTAAAGGAAAGCTGCATTCGATATATAAAGACAACAGCGAATGCTACTGGTAAGACGAATGAGTTTCTAATCAGTAAACGAATTTGGGCCCATTAATCTGCATAATATTTTTATAGTGGATCATTTGAGCAAGTATTTGGCGTTGCGTTTAACTTTGGATTTAGGTTCCGAGCTCCCAGAAGCTTATCGCATGTTAAATTTTTGCATTTATATAGCACCTCAGCCGCAACAGTTGGTCATTTTGAATGGCAATCAAACTCTACATCAGGTCAACGAAAAATTTTGGAAGGTAAGTATCATAACCTGAAAGAATGAAACAATCTTTTTCTCAATATCAGCCGGCGAGGCATAGTGCACGATCTTAGTCAATCAGAATGATACGTAAAGTTCTGTGCACATTTGTCAAGTGGAGCATGCTTCCAATACATCGGACGGCTTGATGTGATCTTCTTATAAGTTACACACGTAAACGCGTTTTGTTTCTTTTCAGGTAAACAAACCCATGGAAATGTATTATTCGTGGAAAAAATCCTAAATGTTAGGTCATGTGATCTTTGATATTAATTAGCGTATTAACCCCTTAAGACCAACGCTAAGCTCGTTTTGAAATTATAATTTTTATTTATATGTAGTATATAAAAATAATGCCATAAAGGCATGACATGATAAAATGTAATTATTGCGGAGAGTCACTCTAGGCGTGGTCGAACATTTGCTTAACAAAAGGAATGCCGAAACAATAAAATATTTAAACTATTAAAGCAGAAGTGACTAGATGCTCTATCATAATCTTAACCCCAAAAGCTTATAATTGGATAAATGGGTAATAAATAAAAAAGATTTATATAAATTTTTAATGCAAAATTTATTAAAAGTACTTAAGCGGGTAGTTATTCGTTGAAAAAAATTTGATAGGACGCGATAAACTTCAAGATCGACTTTTATATAATGCATTACGTCGACAAAAGCTTATAGAAATATATAAAAATTATATTTTTTTGTCTTCTTAATTCTAGGGAAATTTAGTGAAGTCTTTTGGAGCGAGAGTGTTGAATGAATAATATTTAAATATTGATTAATAAAAAACGTACGCCAGAAAGCAGAATTTAATATCGAAGCTCTGTGCTCACATTAAACATTTCCATTAAGTTGACGAAAGCATTAAAAAATCATGTTATCTGGTTAAGTTTACTTAGGATGGCGGCTTTATAATTTTTATATTCTTGGCTACGTTCAATTTTATTTCGGCATTCCCCCTGAATGCGTAATAAACACCGATTAATATTATCACAATCACCGGTGCGTATTTGATTCCGGAGATCTCTTTCTAAATCATAGGGCAAACCTAAATCACTTAGTTCGTCCAACTCGTCTAATGTGAGAATTTTGTCGTCTTGCAGCATATATGCACCACACTGTTCATAAACGTCGAGATATTGTTCCGTTATGTTTTCGCCACATCGAGATTGTTTCAGAAAACTCTTAAATATTTTTACAGCCCGGTGATCTATTAAAGTAGCTTGGACATTCAGTTGATAAAGACGTTGGACTTCTTCCTCTGTCATTTCTTGACAACCACAGAAGCATTTCAGCAAGCGCTTCACAGTAACCTGTGTGCATACGAAAGAAAGTCACGAAAGCTATTCTTATTCAACTTAAAAATACTGTAGGCAAGATTATCTTTACCTTGCAAGAAGTCATAATTGCTTTTCTTTAAAGCAGCAGATATTTGTTGATTAGTAATATGATTTGATCTTGCGCAATGCAAAATTATTAACTTCTGTTATTTGTGTTTAGTCGCAAACATAAAGCGGCTTTTTTGCTCAAAATAAATGAACACTTGAAAGATATTTATATAATTGTTTACAGTTTCTACATCGTCGTTTGTATCATAGGATATACTTCTGCATTAACTCAATATTGTATGTAAAAGATATCGAGCTTAATAGTCTTGATGTGCCAAAAGCAAACATGCCTTTCTTATGAAAGATAATTTCGACAGTAAAACCAAATTTGCTCCCAATTCAGATTACAACTTTTTATTTTTTTTGGCTCAATTATCAGCTGATCTACATTTATGTTGTCAAAATAATTCTAAACAAATATTACGTACTACGTGTTATGCAACCCTGTATTAAATATTTAAGCATATGAAATAAAGGCATAAAAAGTATTGTGTTTACATATTTTTCGCACAGAACAAATCAACCTTGCTGCTGTTGTTTTTATTATCACTTTTGAGAAATTATTTGGAAGATTAAAGTGAGTATTTTAATAATATTAGAAATCAAGTTTAAAATTCGTCTATTTGAATAGTAGACATGGCGGCCAACCGCGCGCGAAGGATAAATGCCGGCGTAAGAATCGGGAAGCTTTTGGATGACGAAGAGGAAGATGAATTTTATAAAACCTCTTACGGTGGCTTTGAAGATGAAGATGATCATGACCAGGATTATGTGTAAGAGAAGATAAGAAAGAAATTTTGCTTCCATCTTCATATCCTATTATCATGCAGTCAGAAAGATGAAGAAGAAGACATAGTGGATTCCGATTTTAGTATAGATGAGAATGATGAGCCTATATCCGACCAAGACGAAGAAGACGTTAAAAAGCGAAGACGTACGGGAGTGCAAACAAAAGCATACAAGGTTTTAAGAATCCATATAATAGTCTTTGCTCTATTAATGTGTAACCTTTGGTGTTTTAAAGGAGCCTAAGCCTGCTAAAAAAGAAGATAAAACTTATGGAAGTCCCTCCAAGAAAAAGACTGGCCCAGGAAGAAAAAGGAAAGCGCGAGCAAAGTTTACCGTCTTAGATTCAGGGCGTAAATCTATAAGAGCTTCCACTGCTATTAAAACTCAAGCTACTAAGATTCGTTTAAAGGAAATGGACGATGCTCGCAAAAGAAAGAGAAGAGCAGTTAGAGTAGAAGAGTATATGCCTACACAAGAAGAACTACTAGAAGAAGCAAAAATTACTGAAGAAGAGAATATAAAGTCACTAGGTAAGAAAGTTAAGTTTAAGCGACAACTATGAATCAAAAGAGGATTGATCTCTTCGCCAGGTACACCAAACGTATTTTTTTTTTAAATCAATAAAAAAAGGAATTAAGTGGCCGAAAAGTGAAATGAAATAATAGGGCCAACGTATATTCAGGCCAATCGAACCTTAAGTTTTCACAATTCAACAGAATCGAATTCTAATTTTCCCCGTTAACGGAATCGGAGTCTAATTTCTCACGCTTTAACAGACTCGGACTCTAATTTCTCACGCTTTAACAGACTCTAATTTCTCACACTAACAGAATCGGACTCTAATGTGTATAATTTTCTATGTTTCTAACTATATTTATAATTTATACCATTAAAATGTGAGGCCTATACATCCATCTTGTTGATATCTCCGGCCCTCAAATAAGGTATACATAAGGACTATTTAAATGCAGATAGAATGATTATGATACGCAGGAGTTTTGTGTTTAACAACACATTTAAAAACTTGAAGCCAACGATCAGCAGAAAGTACCAAATTTTGAACGATTGAAAAAGATTCAGTTCAAGCCATACACGCATTTCACGTATATCATTCAGAGCCGATTTTCAGGTAGATTTTGTGATAAGCTTGTAAAACATGTCAAATTCGCTGTGTGTTTTGACGGTAGCTTAAAAGCAACGGTTGGATGGATTTTGTAAAAAGAGGCAGGTGAGATTTTTTGTGTAGTCATTATTCAACCACTGAGATGTAACGTTTTGAATAAAGTGTATTGCTTTTTTGGGAGTATATGTGCTGGTCAAAAATCTGACGATCTATCTAAGATTTCCGAGCAAAATAGTCAATTAAACTGGGACATCCAGACAAAATAATGGTAATTCTCGATCGATTCGTGGATTTCGAGCATAAATATACATACAAGTATAAATATTTACAAGACATATGTGGTGTCAGGGAATATAAAATTTGTATCATCTTTTTCAAATGGGATTTTTATGGCATGGCAAATGGCATGTAATCCAATAAAGTTTGGGGATGTGTCTTCAGTCATTTCCAACTTGTAAGATCTATTAGACTGACATTCTATTATCCAGAACTTAGAAATATACTTATTGTAATCAGTGTCATATATTCCCCATTCGCGAAAATATTTCAAGAAAAGAATGCTATTTTTTTCCTTAAAAATTTTATTAAAAAGAAGCACCACGTTTTGAGAATAGAGAGAGAGCAGAGACGCTTTCAATAAATTGCAACACTTTATCCTTTTTTTAAGCTCCTGTATTCTCCGTTGAATATAAAAAGCAATGTGGAATGTTTGTTATACAAACATGCAATCTCTGTTAACTCTATAAATTTACTAAGGAGTCTCTGTTAAATATAGAAATCTATAGGTAATCTCTGTTGAAAATATCGTGTGCTGAGAATAGGAAGAGAGAAATGTCTAGAGTTACCCGTCAAAATATGACGTTCCGAAAAAGCCTCATTGTTCCGCAGTTATTGTGATAGAAACTAAGACTTTTGTACGGCAATCATACACAGAATGTGGTTACAGCTGTTTTCGTAGCGCAGATTTTGGCTTTAATGGACCAAATTAGCTTGAAAGGATTGTTGACTAACTTGTCCTAAATGCATACTCTCTAGCATCATTAGAAGGGATTACCTCTATTTACATATGAAATCGAATTTGATTGCAGAAAAGTTTCAAAAAATGGAATTGGAAAAGAAAAAAACCCGCCCAACTAAACGTCTGTTTTTGGGTCCGATAATACGTTACCATTCCTTGGCAATGCCTGTTGTACGTAAACAAACACGTGGCTGTAATACTGGTTTCGACTCAAAAGATCCGAGATCAAAATGTGAACGAACGTTTATTTCATTTGAAAATGATTTGGATGACAAGGTTTTTCAAAGCATCTTTAAAGTCAAGAAATTGCCAAAAAATGCCGGTTACCTTTGTTCCATCACCAAGTATGAAAGGAAAAGATATAATTAAAAATTTAATACTCAATTCTTATACACTTTTAAGGTTACCAGCTCGTTATTTCGATCCTGTCACCCAGCAGCCTTATTACAGTATACAGGCCTTCAAAATTTTACGCGAAGCCTACTATATGCAATTGGAGGAGCGCGGTAATACAGATAACCCACAATTGCAAAAATGGTTAGAATGGCGAAAATTAGTTAAAGAAAATCGTCTAAAATCTGCAGCCAATACAAGCTAAATATCAAACCTTCAAATACCAAAAATTGATTAAGCAGCTAGAAAGCTATTCCATTACGTTCATTACTTTTATTTTACATTGTTTGAATAATAATAAGATTGGTATTTTTATCGGACAATAGCGCAGATACTCCTAATTTTTTTATTTTTTTTTCGATTTGATGTGTTACATTTAATGTATGTAGCCACATAATAAGAATGTATGTTGATTTGTAAGAAATTGATATTAAAAAAAAGAATAATAATAATAAAATACATTTTATTTTATTGTGGAAATCTATTAATTTGAAAAACGTCAAGTGGCAATTTTGCTTGAGCTTCGACATTTATTTTAAAAAGGCTTATCACTTCTTAAAATTTTTTTATAAAATAATCTTTTGAAGCTATTGCAGCGGCTGATTTTTCTGGTCCAGTTTTAAGCTTTGATAAATTAGAAAAAAAGTATCAAGAAGAATTTCAGCAGCTTTACTCTACTCTTCACGGCGTCCAGCACCAATCCTATCATTTCATATTCTACTTTCACTGTGTTCTGACTGAGTAGGACCCCAAGTGGCGGCTGATAAGTGTATCTTTCCGATCTTCTAAACTTACAAAGGTTTTCTCTGTTTTTGTCGGTTTCATTGACCCTTTCTGACGTCATCCACCCTATTGGTTCTCTGGGTAAGTCGGTTGTTGTAGCAGCAAGAAGGCCAAAACTTGTCCGTCACGTAAGTGACAGATGTGGTTCAAAAGGAGGCAGTTAGATATGGTTCTAAAGGAAGACGATTTTGACAAACTTGCAAAGGCTCATGGTGCGCTAAAATGTAAAAGTTATACATTGTCAGATAATGCGAAGAAAAAAATTTGCTGAAAGTTGTCTTGTGACGAACACATGTCTGTGAATGTTAACAGCACTGCTTCAAGACCAACAAACCCCAGCTTAGCTCTGAAGACGACCAGAAATTATGACAATGGAACTTCTGCTGCTCTTTGTAATGTTGACAACTATCTATCTGGCCGCGAATAAATCAAGCACTTCTTCTGAGCAAGACGTCCTTTATAACAGCGACGTTACGTGTTCATTAACGTATGTGGAAACGAGGACGCTCAAAGAATCCTTCTTACCTCTTACTGTCTTCTTCGAATATATTAAGAATTTCGATTGGCGATGGCCGGGATTGGCCAAGGTTCTTGTTGACAACGTTCAGAGTGAGAATAACTTTTAGAGAATAATGACTTTTCTTCAAAACGTGCAAAGGAATTTCACCGAGAGATTTGATATTATTCGCAATACATCCATGAAAGAAAATGACAATGAAAAATGCGAAGTCCGAAATTGAAAGTCAGTCAATAGACGATTTCGACGAGACCACCCCAAGAACAAAAATTTCATCCCTACCAACAGTATTAAAACTGGCTTTACAAATATGTATTTAAAAGAGCTTGCCTTCACTATTTCCAGTGGAAAAGTGGCTGGGAACAAAGCCGTAATGCTCGCTGCAGATATCTACAAAGCCTTTGAAAGTGTCGATCTGTGGAAACTTAGAAAGTTCTTTAGAGATTTTGCAATTCCACAATACCTTAGACTCTAGATCTTAAACTTCGTCTCATCTCACGGTCTAGTTATGGGCTCGGATCCGGTTGAAGTCCTTGGAGATCTGCCACGTGGCAGCTGAGCCTCATTCTTTTCAACCTATACACTCCTAGTCTGCATCGGCTGCAGGATAACAGAACCCATATATTTCAATACGTGGACGATTTTTTACTTGTGTCGGCAGGATTTTTTCTCGACGAGGCAGTTTGCAGCCTTGCTAACAAGGCCAGTCTTCTCTGTGAAGCTTGCGCTGACTTAACAAGGTTTTCAACCGGAACAAATCTAAGAAAGTTATTAATAACTCCATTAATGGTACTAGGGTTAATCAAGCGTCAACTTTCAAATTCCTTGGCAGGATTGTTAATGCAAATCTGAGAACTGTCAGTTTTGAAGAAATGTTGGCAAACTCATGGCAAAGTACACTTTCCCCACAGAAAGCTTTAAAAGTGCACAAGTCCCTTAGTCCGATCGAAAATAGAATATGCCTACTCCACTTTATGTAATTTTTCAGATTACATAATCAAAAAATACAGACTTTTCAACATTCACTTCTAAGTCTCTAGCAGTTACACAAGGTTGTAACAGAAATTTAATGATATTTTCAACAAAGTCAACACCATCCCCGTCTGGACTCATTTCAAATGTAAAAGCGATGTAAATATCCTCAAATCTATTCTAAATTCTAATTCTAAAAGGGATTTGCGTCACTTATGTCTTCGAGCTGTATGTTTGCAAAAATTAAACTTCTACTTAGAAATCTGGGACTATCTTACACTTTTATTAAGCTTCTTGCTAACCGACAGGTTGTGGCTTTTGCTAAATCCAAGACCATAAAAAAATTCATTATCTTCCCGGATAACAAATCGTTGTTGATGTTAATCAAAAACAAATATCTGTATAGTATGTATGTTTTCAAAATGAGCGATATTTTAAATGATCCATTGTTTGAAGAATGTCATTTGATCTGGTTACAAGCTCACTGCGAGACTCAGTTTGATGGTACAATCCTTTTCATCAAGTATCTTTCCAGTGATGCTCTCTGTCTAATTCGGAAAAACATTATTCAAGAATGGAAGGATGAGTATCATGAAATCGCTCAGGAAAAAAATGGTCGTCTTTTTTTATAATATCCAACTTTTCCTGACCTTTCAGCCTCTGTCGGATGACAAATTTACAACATGGGAAAGTAAAACACTCAACACACTTATGACCAATCACACATATGATAACCTCTACTTAAAAATGATCGAGGAAATTCTATTTGATATCTGTGATGGATTGGGTTAATCCATCTCTGTTCAACATACCAAAAAAAAAAAAAAAAATATCTGTGATGGATGCAATACTGCAGACTCAGTCAAGTATCTACTTTTTAAATGCAGAAGGATCGACAGTAACTAACTATCGGTACATATTTATCGCTTAAGAACTACCAGAGCCTGATTTTCTGGTTTTTTGCTGCAATTCACCCAAACTGTCCTTCCCAAATTCGCAATCAATGGAAAAAAAAAGTATATTTGCTTCGGCTTTCTACGACATTCTTAACCGATACAACATCAAATATTTGATAATTTTGCTGGGGGATGTGCACCAAACTACGATCTTTTTAATTTATATTTCGAGTTTCTCGATTCTTCGAAAGGAACAGAATCAGTTCTAACTTTTAGGCGGTGGGTATAAACATTTAAAATCGTGAAATGGTTATGTTTCAAAAATATCCTGGCCTGCTTTCCGCAATTGAATAGGAAATAATTATGGTAACATTTAAGAATCATACTGTAATTGTTAAATGAGTGTATCCTCGTCTTGACCTTCGTAAACCATTAATAAAGAATGCTGCGACGGTGAACGTCCCATACCACCTAAAGAACCGTCAGGAGACAATAAACCAGTTTGTAAGCTATTCGTGTCACGATAACCCGATGTTGATGATGTTTGGGAAACAGAATCCCAAGAAATTTCGCCAATGGTTTTCGGATGCTCTTCCTGCGATGCTACCTAAAAAATGATCGTTTCAAACAGACCGTTAATTGCTTTTTCAGAGACCTACAATGTTAGGAGTTTCCATAGGGGTTAGACGGTTACGTTTCATACGAAACGTTTTGCGACTAGCAGCCTTGGATCTTTGTAAACGTGAACGTGTATGATCACCAGAACTGTCTTCGGCAGGGCTCTCAGGTGAAAGAGGTGTTGTGGATGTTTCGCCCGAAGAATGTCGAAACTCTACAGAGGAAACGAATCGCAGCTTAGGAGGTTGAGCTTTAAATGGCGCTTGTTGTAAACTCTGCGAATGCGATAGTTGCGCTATTTGGCCGGCAGGTTGCGCCGTGGCTATGGTTGCCGCACTGGTGCCTTGACTCGAAGCTATACACGTAGATCCAGAGGTGCCACCTGTAACATTGTGGCCAATAAGTGTGGGCGCAGAGGCAGCAGTTTGCTCGCCACTCTGACTTTCACTGGTAGTCGTGTGTGCGTCTCTTCCTGTGGAACTACTTGATAATGATTCTCTAGGTGGATGTAGAGTTTGTTGAGAAAGTGTATCGCTCGGAGTGTACATTCCACCAGAGCCGCTACGTGAGTCAACAGGCACTGATACATGTGAATGTGTAGCTTGCCCAGTTGTAGTGCCAGTAAAAATTGAAATAAGAGATGGTCTCTGTTGAGATTTATTATGACCCTCTGTGGTTGTAGAAACAGGCGCAGTGTCTGCTTTTTTTTGATCGGAACTTTCGCGATCTTCATAGAGAATGCTATCTATATACAGTTGTTCAGGCTTAAATGGCATTGAAATTACCTACCATAACGTTTTTCTTCTAGTTCCTCTCTTAAATCGCGCAACTCTCTAGCTAGCTCCAAAAGCAAAGCACCTTTGGATTTTATACCGCCTTGCGGAGGTGTGCCTCTTAACCGCTCTCGTATTATAAACTGCATATGACGTTCATGGTCGCCAATTGGCGGCTGCGATATCTGGGAAAGAGAAATCCTTGGCAATAGACAGAAAACTTTGCTTTTATAGTTTACCTTATGTAGTATAAACGGTAGCAACACAATATAAAGCGGAGTCCTGTGGGTGACTACAAACTCTAAGAAACTCCATAAATCCGGAGCGGCTTCGTTTCTACGGCCCAAATCGCGCATTACTCTAACAATGCGAGGCCACTCCGCTGATAAGCGATTTTCAAAACAAATGCAAACAATCCGTAAGGCCAAAAAGGCAGCTTGATACAGGGATCCAGCTATTCGTGCTGGTCTTTTGGCATCCCTGCTACCTGTGAAAGTTAAGGAGCCTGCGCGCAAATCACCGCCTACGCGATTAATTTGGGCTACGGCTTGTCCAGTTCTACCCGCAGGAGGGCTCATGGCATTTAATACGGCGTTAAGTAAATATGTAACATCGCTCATTTTTAATTCCCCTACTTCTGAGACACCCCGACCCGAGCACACTTTCAAGCACAGCGGCATAATCAAATGCATTAGATATCCTTCGGCCTTCTCTTGCGTTGCAAATTCTGCACTGCCACCACATATTTGCACAAGGGAAAAACAATCTACTGGGCTAACCACCTGGAGGGCAACCAAACGCACTACCGTCGAACAAAAGAAGGCTGGCGGATTCTGAGACATAAGAGCTGCACCTGCGCTTGATACACCCTCGGGTGCAGACGACCCGGGTTCATTCACAATAAGGTTCTGCACTGTACTTATCAAGGTTTTCATTTGCTGCCAATGCAAGATGTACGGGTGCTTTACTATAGTTTCGTGTATTCCTTTCAAGAGGCCAGCAGCCGCTTCCCAATCAGTATTGCGACGAATGGAAGGTTTCTTAGAAATTTTCAGGAAGACTTTGTCTATCCGTCTTAGTATGGTAACCAAAGCGTTTCGCAAAGCATCATTTGACCATTCTGCCCTGGGTAAAATCGCTTGCATGTAACGTTGTAGACCACGACAAGCCATGGATTCAGGATCATAGGGCGATACCTTAAGTAAAGAGTGGGCAATTTCTGCTAAGCGTATGTGGCATTTGGCGTCTAATACCTCGGTTAGTTTCGTGTCGTTTGGTAACTTTTTGGCAAGCTCTAGCAATCGAGTGGTGGACTTGCTTAAAAAGTCGCCTACTACAGACAACAGAACATCTCTGGGTCTTCGATATTCTGTGCGTATCATTTCGGAATCTTCTCCCGAATCCATGACATTTTTGGCGCGTGGGTCGGCGGCGTACTTTGAATGGGATTCGTCTTCAAAGTCCAGACCTGGTGAACACGGGGGACCTCTGCTACAGTTTCGCTGCGAAGAACCTTTATGTTCTGGGCTGTTGCGATAGGGGCCATTATAACTTTTTGCTAGGCCTTCGCAATTATGAACCATAGTTCGAACGGCAACGGCAAGTTGTAAAATGATGTCCCTTTCCGATTTACCTTGCAAAGGTATATAGCTTGGTGATTGAATTTGTTGCAAGTAACATGGTAAAATAGCTTCTAAAATAATCTGGAGAGGATTTAAAGGAAAAACATTATGTAGAACTTCTCAGAACACGGGAGCATTAGAAAAGGAATACCAGCATCTGATAGCCTCTGTTGCTTTCGGCCGAGTAAGAAACTACCATCACACAAAGTGTTATGCAATCAAGTACTGTAACATCACCATCTTCGTCGTGATAACAAAAATCAATAGCCTTCAATGGCTTCGGTTCCTTTACTAATTCCGCGATATTTAAGGGGTCAGGTGATGGGTCTTCCAGGCTAAGGAGTAAATTAAAAAGGCAGCTGGATTGTACCTGAATGGAGCATCAAAGATCAAAAAGCTTAAAGGATCATAACGTTAAGTAATTAAATGTTTATTGTTCTATCAAGAGGATCAATTAATTGATATGAGTTTGCTTTTTTTCCGGGTAAGAAAATGAATGACTAAACAATTTTACCTTGTGAGCCTCCCCATATGTACCTTCTTCGTCGGTGTCCAGAATTGCAGACACTGAACCAAACATTTGCAAGATGAATGGCTTGCGATTCAATAAATAGAACTGTTTCACCGCGTACTCGATCGTGGTAGTGATTAGCTTATTGGTCTGATATAAAGAGTAAATTTGTAATAATGTTGGCATAATCATAAAATAACCATTGGTGGAGAATATATTTTTAAAATTGAAAGCAGCGTTAATGTACGTGGCCATGACATAACGCATTATGCAAGAATCTTCGGCATGCAAGAAGGCTGCACCAGACAATACATTTAGGAATAGTTGTATATCAGCTGAATAGGCAAAATTGCCTGCCATCGCCTCGAACATGCGGGCTATTAATCGCACCCACATGAACTTATGCAAAACATCTAAGCCTAGTAGAACTTTTCCGTATTCGCCACCTTGATGCAAATCTAAATCTACTTCCAACGCTTTCCGCGGGAAAGATGGCAATTTCATTAGCTCCTCATGCAAGAAAACAACTCGTTGTACCACCATGTCGACGTTTTTCAGAATGGCCCAAGTTAAGTGCACTTTGCCGATTTCTACAAATTTCTTTGTTAACTCTTGTTTTTGTAAAGCCAGAAATGACTCCTCTGGTTTCATCAATATCAGACGCACTTCTGGATATTGTGAACGTTTAAAGAAGTATAAATCTCTAATGTACCAATTGGGATTTAAAATTTTATCTAAAATGATTACGAAATATATTGAAAAATAAAACTTTCATCAGTTTCATCACTTAGCTTTTACTTACTACTTTTGTAATCTATCAAGCAATAGTTATTGATATTCTTCTCTTCGACCGAATAATAGTCCAGAGATTCTTTTAGTAATTGCAAAAATAACGTATCTTCTTGTACGGGGAATTGCGAAGGTATGTTACAGTCATCATCAAATGGCCCGTGGACAACTATTTTTTTAGCCGCTGGCACATTAGCTGTTAATAATATGGAAGCATCGCACTGTTCTTTGCGCAAGATTTGTTTTAAATCCTTAAACATAATACCGTGAACACTGTGCACTACCATCCATAACACAGAGAGAGCTGAACCAACTAGCTGCAAACAGAACCGAAAACTGAAGTTACGTAACTATATCTGCACTACATCCGTTCGAAAATTCGAAAACGAATGATATTCACTCACCTCTTGTTTTAGCTCGTTTGAAGAACGCACATAAAACATAATATAGCCAATGATTGAATTATATAAAGCGAAGGCGGCTTGTTGCGGTAATCGAGGGACGAATCGTATTAGGTGGCGTAATAATTTAAACATTTGATCTTGACGGTCACGTGTTAGCCGCTCAAATACGTAACGCAGGAACAAGGCTGATTCTTCAACCAAACAAACCCAAATAACCTGGTATGCTACTTCATACACTGCGTTACCATCGGATCCAATAGCAGCATCGTCTAGACAGCCTACAATTTGCATCACTGACGAGCACAAAACAGAAGGAAACAGTGAATGAGCGTAATGCAAATGCGATGATGCACGCCCGCCATCGATTTCTTCTTCAGCTTCGTGATCTTCATGTTCCATACCCGGTTCATGAGATGCTTGTTGATTTACCGGAATAGTCGTAATAAAAAAACTATGACGTTCGGCGCGTTGCTTGTCTCGTTGCTGACGCAGGGCGTTACGTATGGCTTCGGTTTGTTGCATCTTTCGACTTTTCGTGGCCGTGACTAAAGTTCAATACGAATTTCTTCAACGACTATCTTAACAACATTGTGAAGATGTAATTGATTACCTTTGTACCCAACATGACGATCTTGATTGAGTGTCACATCCATGTCTTTAATTTGTTTTTCAGGCATCCACGGCGGGTCTACTACAGGCAGTGATTCTATACCAATTTTAGGAGAGGGTAAAGTAAATTCGATGCCACCTGGAGGTACCTTGAAAGTAACATCATGGGCGTTTCCTTCTAAACGGGGCCAAAAGTGAAAACGATTTTTCCATAAAACCAAATATCTAAAACAATACTTGAACGTAAGTACATGAGGGAAAAAATAAGCATTCTATACATTGTATACCACCTTTGTATGGCTCCTATTCTTATGTCTGGATCTTTATTTTTCAGAGCTCTTTGCATTATATCAAAGGCGAAATTCTGAGCTTTAACGGAACCCATTAGGAAGACGGCTGCACTTGTTGTGGCTGCGTCTTGATTAGTTTCCAAGAGTAGTTCCCAAGCTGCCGGCATAGCTTCAATAATCATTTCTTCCGTCAGTATCACGGCTCCTTTTAACATAGTAGCAAATGGAAAATGGAATAATGAGCGAACATGAAATCGTATGAACTTCAATATGGGCATCTCCTCTTGATCTTTTTTGTCTATTTCTTTGCGAAAAGCTTTGGCGAACTTGTCAGCTATCTCCATATCGGCGTCATCGCTAATACTGTGAAATCCACAAAACTAAAATGTCATACTGTAAACATACAAATACTACACGAACCGGTCTTTACGAGTGAGACTGTCTTTTCGTTTTGAAGGTGACGTCTGTGTGGAACTTTGCTCCGACACTTTTCGTCCCGATCGCATCCGAGTCTGCTGATTTTTGGTTGAAAAGACGGTGTTCGGTTCCAGAGTAGGATGATCCGAGTCAAATGTGAAACCAAAATCTTCCCCGTAAATCTGTATTGCAATTAGAAGAGCGAAACAAAATACTATTATGGAGAACTGAAACGAATACACACGTCTCTACAATATTTATGGTCATTTTCTTCACGCTTCTAAAGTGTAAGAAGGCGAAAGGAATATGAGAGGAAAGCTTCAAATTTGGCTGTAAAATAATTTCACCTAAGTTTTGTTGAATCTTAGCGTTTCTTTTTCTTCTTTCCTTGGTGTGACATACCTTACGTGTTGCTTTTATCAAGCGTGTACAGGCTCTCATGTGACGTTTGTGACAATACGGATGACAAAAGCCCTTATGACCGCAGTAATAATTGTAACTAGTAATGAGACCGATAATTGCTTTTAGCCAAGGCATATTCTTCGCCGTATCGTCTGTTTCGTTTGAATCGGTCGGAGATTCAGGCTGTTGATCATCGCTCAGTATACCAGGCGAGCCATGCTCATCTTCTCCTCCGCTAGCAACACCTTGCTCCGAAGTATCACTACGATCTGAAAGGGAAGAAACTTTTCGTCTCGATTGTATGGAATCCACTCGCTTAACTAGAGTAATAAACAAACGACAATATGTTTAGGGAGCGTTATAGAAAGTTAAATACTTACAATCAGCTTCCATATCTTTACTGTCTTTGGTATTACGTCGTAGTTTTAAAGATCGTCTTTTAAATGAACCACCTGTAGTGGTAGCTGTACCGCGGCGCAGTAAGAAGGGTCTTACAGCCGAAGCGGTTGGTCGACGAGCTAGAACGATGTAAAATGTTGTGTAAATCAAAGGGTTTCCAATATAAAGATCCAGGGCTTTATGATAGGAAGTGATGCAGAGTCAATTTGTGCAGAAATATTATTATCATTACTACTACATATACTCGATTTTTATTGGTTTTTAAGAGAATGTTTGGAGAGAATTTCTGATAGATTCTCACTTTGAGAGTAGTGAGATATCAAGTTGAAATTTGACACAAACATTCACTAGAATTTAATAATAAATAAATCTTAATATTTTAGTATTATAGTGCTACCGATTCGATTCACTTACAAGCCCATGCAATAACGAATTTTTGTAATTTTAAAGTTTGTATAGGTAACGATTGTCGTTCTATTATTATATGGAATAAATCAGTAACTCTGTAATTCCGCTTTTTGAAACAATATCGTGGGTCTGTTATTGTGGCCGTGTTAAAATTCTTCAGCTCTTTTTCAATAGGTCCATATAGTTTATGTTCTCTCCTATATACTCCTTCTTAGACACATATATCCACACTACAAACTCAAAATATCTCTAATCTTGATTTAATTTATTGGTTGTTATAACCTAAATCAGTTGTGGTGCGGAATATATTAAGTTTGTGCGGATGATTGTAGCACCTAGAATGGCGAGAGGAAACCAGCCTTACTTTTTATTATACCGAGATTGATTCTTAATCGATCTAAGCCTGTCTGTCTATTTGTTTGTCCGTCTTATGCCTGTCTATGTAAAATTGTGTCGAGATTTTCAAAATTTTTTCACAAGGTTTGATTTGTAATAGTATTTCGACATTCTAAACTGATGTAAAAAATTTGGTTCAGCTGGGAAAATTTCTTGAACCTCCGCTCACATAACGCTTCCTACGAAAACTGAATCTTTGCATAGTCAAAAGATGTCATTTTTAATATTTCATGGTGAAAATTAGTTTATAATAATAAATTGACATAGAAATCAACCTTATCGAATTTGCACTACATAGGTCTACTTTTTGGATATTACCATCAATAAGGATTCTCAGGAAATGTAAACCGGTGTCTGTCAAAAATGCCTAACTGTTAACATTTTATGACGTGAATTTGTTCACGATAGTAGTTTGACAAAAAAGTTACATGAACCAAATTTAAACCACATCCGTCTACTTCTTGGAGCCCAATTCGTAGAAAATCTCTTAAGAATAGTAGTAGCCCTTCAGAAAGAAGCTTCATTTTTAATATTTTATGATGAAAAGTTGTCCATAGTAGCAACTTAACCAATAAAAACGAACAGTACGGAATTTGGGTCGCAAAGGTATATTTTTAAAAGGATTATCAAGAAAAGCAAGTCCTTATATGCAGCGAAAGTGTAATTTCTAGTTCTCTGTGAAGGAAAAACAAAAATAATAAAATTTTTGGGAAATAAATTAAGTTCGGTAAATTCGGATCATTTCATATGATGTTTTGGCCACCTTCCAATATGCGCGCTTCCATGAAAAGTATGAAAATAATGTGTAATTTTGATGTGTTACTATTAAGGCTAGCGACTAATTGTACTAGGCGGATGGTATAGGGTATGTAATGGTCGTTCGTTCTTGTTTTTTTCTTACAAAATTAGAAGGCAAACCTGTAACAGTGAAAATGACTTTTCCTATAATTTGCTTAAATTGACAGTGGCGAAGGACATTTGGTTATGGAAAGTTATGGGAGCTTTTTTTAATTATGTTCGTCATGGGCAGTGTATTACGCTATCCAAGTGTGTGCTCCTATTTTCGTGCCGTCTATAGTAACATTGATTTCGGATTCAGTACCACATGAAAGGTGGATGTGAGATGATTACGTCCAAGGAATATGAAAATTATCTGTAATAAATTTTAACTTTCTACCTCAGCCAATGCAGTCGCAACAGCGCTAAACATAAGTAACAAAGAAACCATACAAAGCTGTGTTCATATTATATAAGTAACACTTGCACTGGAATTGGTTTTATTTAACCCATATGCTTAAATTGCCATGCAGTAGTATTTTAACATCACATTTTTCTGATCGTTTCTTTAGTTTGAAATTTTGTTAAGCCGATACTCTCAGGAGTGTTAAGCGTAAAAATCAATATCTTTGTTATATGCGTGAGAGCAATTTTTTCGAAGCTTAGATATACGTTTACATTGTATTATAGGCATTTATCTAAGTTATATATGTATGAAAGAGAGCGCATTGATAGCTCGTATATGTGATTCGTTTACCTTTTAGCCTTTCTTTGAAGTAATAATAACAATGATAGGAAAAAAAGAGGAAAGTGTGCGTCAAAAGAAATTTTGAAGCCTATTAAGCCATATTTTAGATACACACCTTCTTCACCTTCTTTAGTTAACGTAGTATTACTACTGTTTTCCGATTCATTATCTGGTTCGTGTAAAACAAATGAAATTTTACGTTCTGGTTGTCCTCCTAATCAATATACAAAAATCAACATAAAATATAAACGGAAAACCTTTCGTAGATTGTTTTCATATTCATTGCATTACCTCCGGCTTCGTTACCGGCAGCAATGGATTGCAGACTTTGGGCTGATGTTTGCGAATGACCCATTGAACTTAAAGCCATAGACCAGCGACGATTTGCTTCGCGATATACTTTCTCCCAGGGTGCCGGCTTCTCCTTATGCAAAAGCTTTGATGTTTTTGGCAAGTGGACATAAACATCTCTTAAGTAAGTGGTGATTTCAAAGAGCAGAATGCAAGCTATTAATTTCAAAGCATGGGGACAGTCGTTACCATGTGGATTAACCGAGGATTCATCTAAAAAGTCTTCTTCTTCGTCCTGTTGCAAGAGTTCACGTTGCTTTTCAGGATCGCTTAGAGCGGCACTCATTGTTTCGTATTGTAAACGCTCAGCGAAAAGTATTTCCTCTAGACGGGCACCTAACATTTCGGCCCACTGTTCGAAGAGAAAAGCAGAAGAATTTATAGTTTGAGGAAAAATTCTTTATGCAGATATCTATAAAGGTATGCTTAACCCATGCTTTCATTTACCTGATGAAACATTTTGCCTGCGGCTCTTTGCAATATATGCTGCCTTCTAGTACTGGTACTGCTAATTTGGTGTTTCATTTGATTGGCGCTTATATTAGCGCCAGACGGCCTATATGTGCTAGCGTTCTGCTTCATCCATACCGGCCATTGTCCTTTGTTGCAAAGATGAACAAAATGAGCACATTCTAAAAGAAAGCTGGCTCGGGCGACCAAAGGGGCTTGGGGCTGTGGGAAACATAAATCATAGTAACATTTTTAAAAATTTTAAATATTGCTAAGCGTTGCTTTTAGTCAATGAGTAACTCACCAAGTCCAGAACAGCAGCTACCAATTGTGGATCGGGGAATGATCCAGGGGCAACGGTTTCGAGCAAGAAGGACAAACGAAGCATGCCTATTCGCACTGGTTCAAGAGGAATTAGTTTCCTTTCTTTCAAGACCACTACTTCAGATTCTCGAGGGCCATCGCACATATCCGAAGAACTGCGTCGACTATAGTCTGCAGTCTCTTCTATGCCACCCGATTTTTTTTTACCTTTAACTATGCCGCCGAAACGGTTTAAACGTCTCTCTACCCTACGCTTTGCGCGCTGTATTGATCTCCCAATACCATCGCTCGAACGTCCCCGCTGTATTTTCAATGAAGCATGCCGAACGAAAGTCGAACTAATTTCTGGATTAAGTGAACCAATTTCTAAATCAATAGAAGATGATTCCTTCGGCGCTCCTTTAAACCAACGCACCAAACCGCTAAGACGCCCCAAAGAATTTCTCTCCGAGCTTGAAGTTGAATCGGACAGCAAAGCTCTTTCACTATGTCGGGGTGTGAGGGTTGGCCTTACTGCTGTGGTACGCCTACGAAAATTACTCAAAGGTGATTGGCTGGATTTGTAATGTTCGTCTCCAGGCTCGGTTTCAAGTAAGCTCTAAAGAGAGAAAAATACAAGTTAATGCGGAACACATATGAGTGAATGAGCTTACTACAGCACAAGCTGACGAAGTACTGCGCTTTTTTAACAATATACGTCTTTGGGAACGATTATCATCGTTTTGAACACTCTGAGCAACTTCAGCTTGAGGTATGTGTCTATGAATGGAGAAAATGAAATAATTAAAGGTTGAATAAATATTTCTGAGCTTATCATAGACAAACATATGTCGACTACCTTATAACCCTGGTGGTTTGGGCAATCGGTCCTTTTTTGTGCGGTCTAGGAGTAACTGCTAATATTCCACTTAACGCAACCAAACGAAATGGTCCCCCATGGGCGCCTTTAACATAAGTAACCAATTGGCGTATGTCGCTATAAAGATGAGCATTCTCAATAGTTTTGAAATCCTTGGCCGCGTCCACGAAGCGTGTGACCAAAGGTTTAAACATGGCTTCTATAAGTTGCGGTTCCGGGCCACCACTAAGACCGCCTCCAAAATTGGTTGAATAACCACCCTGGCCGCCTGATGAGGATACACCATTGCCAAGATCGGTGTTAGGATTTTTAAAGCCACTCGTGCGCTTATGTGCTATTTTGCATTGTTTTTATTTTTGGGGGTTTTTGTACAGAGAATCAACGACAGAATTCGAAAGTGTGTGGTAGGGTGGTGGAGGGTAAATGAATGACATTAAGTTGATTGGTTGTATAATTAATGGGCAGCGATGGAGGATAACGATAAGTAGAATGCATAAACAGTGGCATAACTGAGGAAAACAGACGGAATTACATGCAAAAAAAAAATTTTCGAATTTTAAGAAGAACATGCTTATAAAGGGGGATTAATAAACGAAAAAAATATGTAGGCATATTAAGCGAACTGTGATTGTCCCAATATTTGCAAAACTATTGCATACAAATAAACAAAAGTATTTTTTTCACCTATTGCAGTGGTATGATTTTAAATAATGTGTGCCTAGGCTACGACACTTAAAAACGAATGAATTTTATTATAATTTGTTAATCGTAACGGCTCTAACAAATTTGAGATATTTCTTAAGGGAACTTACTTAGTGGCGATAGCAATGAGCTTGGGTCTACACAGAAAGCACAAAAGCCGTGCAAGAAATCAACCAATTCTTGTAAGGGAGCTGTTTGTACCATTTGTTGTAAGTGTCGTTTCGTACGCTGAACGGCATGACGTAAAAGACGCGATAGAATCTTTTGACACTGATTTCTTAAGAAATCGGCAGGAGGCCCACGTACGCCTATAAAGAAACGAATAAAATACGAAAAAAAAACACCAACAAAAAACCAACCAACTCCAATGGGTAATGAAAGCACGTACTGAAAATGAGTAAGGGAAGCACTTACCATCCTTGCACCCATGTGGGCAACCCAAGAGAAGTAGAGCTCTTTTTATGATGCCCATAGATATTTCGTGTGCATGTTCGCCCAGCTTAAGAACACCTATCTCTAGCAAAAGTTCGCATATATTTAGACCGGCTTCCAAAACTCTTAGGGAGACTACGGTCTGGTCTCGTTTAAAAACATTATAAACGGCCAGCAGGATAATCTCATAGTCAAGGCCTCCTTCCGGTGTAATGTAAAATGACGATCCTGGTGCTTCCGACTCGTCCACACCAGTGTAATCGATATGGGAATCTGTGTGAGAGCGAAGCATATGACTCTTAAAGCGTGAGCCGATACTCCCGCTGCCCGGAACAACCGTTGTACTTCCATTTGCGCCGTTGCCAGTGACGCCACCTCCAATACTTCCACCATTGCTTAAAGCGTCCAACTGCGAATCAATAGAGCCCTTTAAAAAAAAGGAATTTGTGTTCAACAATTGAAAGACTATTGCGTCCAATATGGTTATCCCGTCTTCATTTTCTTCTGTTGTCTTCTTGTCGTGTGTAAACTTTCCCAATTCTTTCTTTCTTTCGAATGTAGCGCTTTATCGCGCCCTAAGTAAGATAGAGAAAATTCGTATTTTGCTTTCAATAAGCGACTGCACGTCTCGAGAAGAAAATCACGTGCCGTTTTCCCAATGGCGTATTATGTTAAACAATTGAATAATTTTTGAGACGTGCTTCAGGCGCCACATTTGCCACAGACTGGGAAATGAACGCTTCAATGGAAACGAAACTTGGAAGGCACGCCCTTAACGGAAACTAATTTCTGTCAATTTGACTTTCGTAAATACATTGCTTACTATTACCTGTCGCTTCAAGTAATCTGGCGACGGTGTCGGTGTATGTTCTGTAACCGTTATGATAGGATTGCGTGGATAGAAAGTTGTACGTTGGCTGCATATTTGCAATGGTCTCATAGCTTTCGCAGGCTCCACATATCTGTAAAATCTTAAATATTTCAATTCATCAGAAAGAAAAAAGAAAGGTAAACAATATTAATGAAAAAACATTTTTAACTTTGGACGTAACGGCGGCTTTTAACCTTGGAATAATGTGCGCATACATAAGGGTAAGATTAACAGAACGAAAAAAGCAATCAAAACTATCAAGCTCTACAGAGTTTTAATATATTGTAATTTTGTAAGTATGCATGTATGTACGTGAACTTAATCGAGTATAACTTCGAACCGGAACAACGATTAAATCAGGATCAGGAATCAAGATGAACATAGTCCTTAGATCCCAACGTTATAACGAAATTACTAGAAATTACTGCTACAGGGTCTTCTTATAAAAGCAGTCCTTACTATTTGCCTTGTACTCTTTTAGATTACATTCTAAAATTTTCTACAGTCAACCGCCATTTAACTTATAACGTTGCATGCTCTAAAAAGGCTCTTAAGTGATTCACATTCATTTTTTATACCCATCACCGATTATTCTTCGAATGATTCATTTTGTCTAAGACCCCATATAGTATATATATTGTTGATCGATTTAAGCATGTCCGTCTGTTCGTCCGTCTAATGTCTGTTGTAAGCGTACTCCTGAAGCTATCAATTTTGGCAGAAATATTGGAAAATCTTGCACGCTGGACACACCTACAGAACCATGTAAATTAAGAACACGCACGTTTTTAAAAGGAATAAAAAATTGGTTTTTTGCTCATTACTCACAAACTGTAGCAGATAAATGTGCAAAAAGTTTTTCAATATTTCAATTTATAACATGCAGAAACAAGTTTCAAAAACCCCATAAAGTATATAAATTCTTGGCCAGTTTCAAATTCAGAATACACCTAAGTATGTCCGTCTGTCTATCCGCCCGCCTGCATAACTGTGTAATATCTCTGGCAAATATTCTCCCGTTAGCGAAAGCTAGGATGGTGTCTAGAAATTTGCAAAAGAATTTGGAAATGAACTAAACTTCTCGAAGGACACGCCTACAACGCCTACATGCGTATGCCACAAAAATAGAAAAATCAGCCGCGCGCTCTCCACATTATAGAGCATGAAAATGTAGTTCTTTCACTTTGTTTGTCTTTGTTGGGATAACGGTGGTGGATATAAAAGATTCGTCCAGGATCGAATATAATTTTCTTATGAGTAATGAAATTACGTTTAAAAGTTGATGGGATAAATCGAAACCAGTGAGAACTTTTACAAACACCTAGCGTTTGTCGTGGTCATCCATAAGTCAATTTGAAATATTTTTAAATTGTAGCTTAGGGCTTCTAACAAGAAGACAGGAAAAAACTAGTAAAAACATTTCAGTGGGGCATGGCCCAGTATTAAATACCCTACACCACTATACATTTATGCATGCATCAACTTTTGAAAACACGGCGTTATATGGAAAGTGGTCGGAAAATAAATCCGATGAGAATCATTTTCAAATTGCGGCGTGTAAGATGAACATAAAAGAACATGATAAGCACGCGGACAGAGGGACAGACAGGTTTAGATCGATATAATAAAAGGTGGGTCAACCTTAGGCTCTTCTAGACGTTGCATACGTCAGCAGGTTAAAGATATCGAAATCGGTTTCGAATTGAATGACAATGATCATCGGTGGGCATAAAAAGAAAATTCGATTTAAATGAAGTGTTAATGTGAGTATAGTTTTTGTTTTAGAGAGAAAAAAAAAGAAGAAAATCAATTCTACAGGCTTTTATTACTACGATTGCAGTGAAAACTGTTGCAATAATGTGATCAATTTGCAAGAGAATAAGAAAATTTTGTTCAACAGGTTTCACTGTGTGCAAGTTATTATTGTAAAGGTAGCAACGTATATATTTATCGATATAATAAAATGTAAGTTAGAGAATTATGTATGATAAGTGGTAAGTAAATATATAAAATTAAATAGAATTTTGTTAATAAAGAAAACTCACCCGCTATCGAGAAGACAGCTGGTTTTGTTTTGTTTTTCATTTTTATTATTATGGTAAGAAAAATGTCAAAGAGATTCGTTAGAATAGATGTGTGGAAGCTAGAGATAGTAAAGATCGTGCAAACAGTGTGCGTGCGAGCGCTTTTTTCCTATTAATAGCATATGACAAAATTTAATTTAATTTAAAAAAATTTGTATTACGCTTAAATTTTATCCACTTTTTCTCTTATTGTCATTTATTTTTTGCTTCTGATGCAATCCATTACTCAGAAGGAGCGCGGTTGTTCCTTATAAGTGTAACATGATGCAATGGCAGGTAAGTAGTAACGAAAGAGAACGAGTTAGAGAGCGGCCGTAGCAGCCTAGTAGGTGCATCCCCAATCTGGTTATGCTTTGTCTTATTACAAAAATTCTCTTATGCAAAAGAAGCGCTTATATAAAATATTTTCGAATATTTCGTTTTGGATTCTAATATAATTTAAAATCAATTTGACGCCAAGATGTGGAGATATAAGTAAAAGATGCGGAAAAGCAATATTTTGGACTTCTTAGAATTCTTTTACTCTCCAATTCTTAATACTCAGTTGGCAAGAGAAACATTCAAGGTTTTTCTTTCCAACTGAGTACTAACAAATGGAAAAAAAAAGAATTCTAAGAAGTCCAAAATATTGCTTTTCCGCATCTTTTAC